TCTTCTTCTTCTTCTTCTTCTTCTTCTTCTTCTGCTTCTTCTTCTTCTTCTTCTTCTTCCTTTGGAAGTAAATCGCAAATTTCCAAATGTGAGAACTCTGTCGCTACTGCCATGGCTCAGATCCTGAAGAGCAATTGAGGTCCCAAAATCACACAATAATTTCATTAAAGACGAAATAATCAAACATTTATAATGAAATCATCTGGGAACAGTTTCCCCGCCCCTCCCCTCCCCGGGCGCGCTGTTCTAGACGGAAACCCCAGCTCTGGTCCGACGAATCCGGCGATTTCCAATCCATTCCAAATAAGTTATGTATGGCATGAGTTATAATCACATACCTAGAACCGAAATCGACGCCGCCTGGATTCGCCCCCGGATCGAAACTTCTCCTTCACGTCTTGACGCCGCTGTTCTCTCTCTCTCTCTCTCTCTCGAAGGAACGAATCTACCATTGCATTAGGTTTCCCTTTTCTCCCCTAATATATATCTCCCCTTGCTCGGATCACGGGCCTGGCCCGCCGGCAAAATAGAGAGCTTGGGCTTGACATTTTAGAGTACGGGCCGGGCTTGGACCTTATAAATGGCGGCCCGAATATGTTAGGGCCGGGCTCGGGTTTATGCTCAAGCCCACGGGCCGGCCCGGCCCAAATAAATTAAATATTTATTATTAATATAATTATAATAAAATAACAATAACAACATTAATAATAATAATAATAAACAAACCTATTTCAAATTATTATAAACACACATACATACTTCTATGGAGAGAAAAAATAAACTATAGGTATATATAATAAAATGAATACATCTTTACTAATCCGTATTGTTTGCAACGTATCACACATTGATTATGACATTTCAATAGATAATATTTTGTACTTCATACATAGTAGCAATATCAAACAAAATATATTTATATATCAATTTTTCTTTCATTTACTCATAATAGTATCAAATATCTAATATATTAACTTGTTACGTTTTTTAAAAAATTTTTTTTTAAATTATTTAGAAGTTTTTGTCGGCCAGGCCGGGCCTGCCCGAAGCCCGCGGGTAATCATGCGGGCCGGGCTTGGGCTTCAATTGTTAGGCCCGTTATACGGGCCGGACCGGGCTCGGGCCTAGAAATTTTTCGTAAAGCAGTGTCTCGGCCCGGCCCGAAACCCGGCCCGGCCCGCACTTTGATCAGGTCTACCCCTTGCACGCCCCACCCATTCACCCCCAACACTAAGGGCGTATTCAATTAGAAGTCTGTAAGATTTTTTTAAACTTTAAGAAGTCAGTGGATTTAGAAAATCCATTGACTCCATGTAGAGTTTGGCATATTCTTTTATTGATTTACATTGAATTTTATATACTTGAAGAGATTTGTTTAGGCCCCGTTTGGTACATGGAATTCAAACTATCGAATTGGAATTGAGGACTTCAATTCCAATTCTGGTGTTTGGTAGCACAAAAATTATGTGGATTTGAAATTGATAGTGCAAAAAATGAATTGAAATTGACAGAATTCAATTCTATGGAATTAAATCCCATGGAATTTCAATTCCAATTCTATTCCAATTCCACCAATTCCTTGTACCAAACGGACCCTTATTGATTTAGATGGATTTCATGTTTGTTCAACTTTTTTATTCATCTCATCCATGACACTTGCCCTTCCTTCCCAAATCTGGGTCTGCCCAGTGCCACTATTTTATAAAAAAGACTATTTCCTTTTTTTTAATTTAAAAAATGAGAATTTACATCTCTATTTTATAATTAGATTTTTTGTATTTTCTCATTTATCATTCTACAAATAACAACCATGCATGATATATTTTATTTTATAATTTTTAAATATGATATCATATATTTTTAATATACTCTACACCAATTTTAATTTTTTAAATATGATATCATATATTATTTTGTTAGACAAAAAAGGCTACTTTGTTTTTTTATGTTAATAAATGAGAATTCACATTTATATTATATAAGTAGATTTTTTTTTGTATTTTTCTCATTTATCATTCTACACATAACAACCATTCATGATATACTTTAGTTTATAATTTTTTTAAATATGATATCATAAATGTATAAAAATACTCTACACCAATTTTAAATATGATATCACATATTTTTAATATACTTTACACCAATTTTAATTTTTTAAATATGATATCATATATTTTTTTTGTTGGACAAAAAAGCCTACTTCGTTTTTTTTTAATTTAAGAAATGAGAATCTACATTTATATTTTATAAATAGATTTCTTTTGTATTTTTCTCATTTATCATTCTACAAATAACAACCATGCATGATATATTTTATTTTATAATTTTTTAAATATGATGTCATAAATATATAAAAATACTTTACACCAATTCCGGTGCCGTGAGGATCGCAGAGAGACGCAAAGAAAAGGGTAAGAAACAGAAAAGGATGTGAACTGCTAAGTGAAATGCTGCTAGGGTTAGCATTTCAATTTTTGGCGGTTTGGTTCTAAATGCCAATTCCAAAAGTCATTATCCAAACAAATAATTTGACGGTTTGACTAGTCCAATCCGCCTTTTATGGGCAAAAATGCCAAATGCTAGATGAACCGCCATTTACCAAACATGGCCATTGATTCCTAAAGCGAGCGGGTCAGTATCTCCCTTCTCAAGGAAGACTTGAACGGGCAATGAGCCAAGGCCATTGACTTGAGATAGTAAACTAAAAACGACCCATAAAAAGATTTAATCACCCGGAAGTAGAGGCCCTGAAAGAAGAGTACATATGAGCCTTAGACAACATTCGAAACGATCGGACATGGTTGGAAATGTTAGACACCTCGCACACCTCTAGAGGGGGGTGAATAGAGGTGTTGCCCAAAAGACCAGTTTTTTTGCGCGGAAACGTTCTTCACGAATATTCAATAAAAACAATGCACCACAAACAAAATAAAGTGAAGGATAAGAGCAATGCACACTCGATATATACTGGTTCGGCCTAAATGCCTACATCCAGTCCCCGAAGCAATCGTGCCCAGGCCTTCACTAACCCATCAAACTTAATGGAGTTTGACAATCCGAATACAACTCGAGAACTTAATTTCACAAGCCTCTTATCTTACCACCGAAGTTTTGATTTCACAAAACTCAGGATTTCTTCCACCTAACGTTTGATTTCACAAACCGTTAGGATTTCTACCACCTGGTGTAATCCCAACACCAAGAATACAAATCCCTTACAATAAAGTAAGAAAACAAACTGCAACCGAGTAATTCTCCCAACATAGAGTAGATTGTTGCAAATACAATGGAGTCCTTTAGAATATGGCAATATCTCTCAAAGACTCAAGCAATGAGGAAAAACTCAAGCAAGAAATGATTTAGCAATCAAAACAATTGCCTTGTTTGGATATAAGGAGGGGATTGAGTAAGATCTCTTTGGATATTCAAAGGATATGTTCTTCAAAGTGTTCTAAGTGTTCTTATGAAGATAATCACGAAAGAGGGTTGTTTATATAAGTTAGGGAGTGGATAGAGATGAAAAGAATTCAAAAAACTAGCCGTTTGGTAGTTGAAACTGTCGACTTATTCGAATAACTCAAGAACTATTCGAACAGTTTGGATCAATCGCGTGGCTTGAAAAACCAGTTCTTATTCGAATAAATGGTTATTTATTCGAATAAATCAAATTGAAAAACCAAGACTTATTCAACTAGTTCTGGATTTATTCAACTAAGTCAGAATAGAAGTTCAGGGATTTATTCGAATAGTTTTTGATTTACTCCGTATTTGAATAGTTTTTTGGAAAAAAATGTGTTTTAAAGGAAGGATGATAAGGGAATGAACGTTAGAGATGCCATACTCTTTAACACATAATCTAAGACTTAAAACACTACCCAACTAAGGAAATAACCTTTTCGGCCTCGTTCCTTCACCGATGCTCAAGTCCCTTCTTCACGGATGAATATAAACTTCTTGTAGCTTTGATTCTTAGCCTTGATGCACAATATGATTATGTTTTGTCACCCTTTTGTCATTATCAAAATCTAAAAGACAATGGGCAAAAGACATTGCAAAAATACATACTCATGATAGCACATTGTCCAACAGGAACCTATAGTGTTAACTTGGCCGAGTCAGAAAAACTTCAAAAAACTACTAAGTTACAGATGCGTTCGGCTACAACCTACCGTTAAACAAAAAAAATGTTAACCGGGTGCAAGGCACACCAGAAGAAATATTAAAATTCACAATGTTAAAAACTCCAACCAGGTTGGGAAATATGACCTATGGCGTCAGGCTACCGAATAACTTTGCGGCTGAGTCGAGATACAAGTGAAGCATTGAAAGTTTTGCAACCCTTTTCGGGTTGGGTGTTCAAAGAACGGAGAAAGTTCTCAAACCCACCAGACAAGAATGTTATGGAATTTTCAATTCTTTCAATTGGACGAAGATGCTAAGAAATTCCTGAGGCCAAACAGCTAGCTAAGGGCAAGGTCACTTTGAAAGATCATTCAATATTTCATATAGATCATTCTCAGAGCGGCTAAAACACACATGGAAAGAATTGAAATATGTGCACATGCAAAAGAAACATACACCGGGTGAAGAGAAAATTAAAATGCAAGGGGATGGGGGTGCTGGTTCATCCTCGGGGATCAAAGCAATGCCATATGAAGCCGCGGAGAA